CGCGCGTTAGATACCGTAAGATAGCGTAAGATACCCTCCGCCAGAGCGGCGTCGAGAGGGCGCGAAGATAACAGCGAAGTTAGGCGGCCTAGGGATCTGAATGTTCTTCGCCTCGTGCGCTTGGCCTAGCTGTATGGGGCCCAAGATCCACTTGCAAGCATGTCGAGCAACAGCGACTCTAGCATGTTAGAAGATCCTGAGATCGAACCATCTGCGTCCGATGATGACTCGGTAGCCATGGCGAACGCTCCTTGCTCGTCGCTGGCAGGCCAATGCCACCTCATGAAGAATTCGAAATTCGTGCCAGGTTCCAGACTCCGGGCAAGAAACGCATAAGATACCGTAAGATACCGTAAGTTGCACATCCGTCGAAAGAGGCAGAGGAGGAGGAGGATGAGGAGGAGGAGGAGGAGGAGGAGAGGGGAGAGTAAGAACAACTGAGGGTTGGTATCTTAAGCTTCCCCCCCCCTCCCGCCTATATTCGGGCCCCCTACTCCTCTCTCCTCCTCCCCTTTCCCTTCAACTTCCTCCCCTTCCCCGCCCTCATCCTCCGCCCGCTTCCTCTTCCTCCTCCTCCTCCTCCTCCTACTCCCCCAGGCATGTTGTTGGCAATCGTCGGCTTGCTACTGGATCTCGGCGGGAACCCAATGCCCGTGCACAGCGTCGAGCTTTTTGCAGGGTGTCGCTCGATCACGAATGGTGTTCGCAATCACGCTCTCTCTGGAGTGGCATTGGATTTCAAGACCGTTGCAGAATCCGATGACATTACGACCACAGCAGGCTTCGTCAAAGCACTCACATACGTTGTTGCCCTGGAACCTGGGGGGTTGCTCTGGGCTGCCCCCCCGTGCAGCACGTGGGTCTGGGTGGGCCGCTTCCAAACAGGTCGACAACACCATCCGTTGGGAAATCATCAGCCCTTCGTTCAGAGAGCCAACATGCAAGTAAGCCGTGTTGTTCTGTTAGTGGCCTTGGCTGTGCTGCTCCACAACGCAATGGTGATTGCGGAGCAGCCGAGCTCATCGATTTTCGAGCGTCACCCTAGATGGGAACAGCTCTGCCATATTCTAGGAGACTCGATGAATGTGCTTCGCATGTGGATGCAACCGTATGGAGCTGAGAGTCCGAAGGCCACCATCCTCTATGCAAACACTTTGAGTATCAGTAGTCTTTGGAAGGCCCGGGACACCAGCCAGCCGTCAACCATCGAAACAGTCACCTACACCGAGAAGAGCGATGGGACGGTGCAAGTTTGGGGAGCGCCGGCTCTGAAGGGAACGGAAGCATACCCGATCGGGTTCGGTGAAGCTGTGGGAAATCTGTTCGTGAACCATCGCTGCCACGACGATGGCATCCCGCTGAACGAACTGGTCTCGAACGATTGCAGCCAGGACCCATGGGAGGACGCGGGCCTGCCTCAGGTTCTCTCGGAGCTTCAGGCGCTCAAGGCTCAGCAGAGCCAGTAGTGCTGTAGCATCGTGGTTGGCCAATTGTGATTATTGTCCTTCTCCTCCTCCTCCTCCCTCTGCTCTCCCCCCCCCGCTCCTCCTCCTTCCTCCTCCCAACCCCCTGCCCCTCGGTCGCCTGTCTTGATCGGGCCGCGCTCTTCTGGCCGCCTCCTCTTCGCCTCCTCCTCCTCCTCCACTCTTCCTCCCCCTCCCTTTCCCCCCCCAGTTCCCTATCCTGACTCACTTGGCCAACCGCATAGCAATCGTATTTTCAAGGAGGCCAGGCTCTGAATGCCGAACTGCCCGGGAAGTTCGGCCGCACTTTGCATGCGAGCATGCAGGGGTGCTTTATATGAGCCTGGCCTCATCTCGACTTGCCGCAAGTTGTCAATTCATGACAATGATGGAGGGTGGTCCGCTCAACCCCAACTCCAACGCACACTCCAGCATTAGATGCCGTAAGATAGCGTAATATACACTTGTTATATATGTACATGCGCATGCACACGCCAACACATAGATACACATGTGTGAAATTTAGGTATCGATATGTATATACAAGCAATGGTTTGCACATACATACATACATGCAAACACACGCATGTGTACAATATTCTCTTGTGAAAAACATGCACTGCCATTAGATACCGTAAGATAACGTAAGATAAGTATGATGTAACTTACATGTGCATGTAAATGTACGCATCAATGTATGTGCACATGTGTATGCATATGTATGTATACACATTCAGAATTACATACACGTATATATATATATGTACATGAATGCGTGTGTATGTGCACCATCTTTATGAGAAACTGCACGCGCTACCATTAGATACCGTAAGATAGCGTAAGATGAGCTGTCTGTAACTTACATGTACATCCGCATATGTATGCATGTGTATGTGTGTATGTAACATATGAGTAGTCCCATGCACGTATGTACATATCGATGGGTGTATGTTCAAAACCTTGCTGGGAAACAGCACGCGCTACCATTAGATACCGTAAGATAGCGTAAGGTGTGTAATCAATACATTACATGTATAAACACATGCGCACATGTATGTATGTAAGTATGTATGCGTAGACTTGTGTACACAATTGACCTTTCTGAACAACTGCACGCGCTACCCTTATATACTGGAAGATCGCGTAATACTGGCTGTATGTAACTTACATACACATACACCGACTTACCTATAGATGTATACATGTATACATATACAAAAAATATCATCGACATGTCTGAGACACTGCACGCGCTTACGTTAGATGCCGTAAGATATCGTAAGGTTGGATTTCTGTACTGTATACGTATGCATATAAATACGCAAATATATACACCTGTGTATATAGATACATGCATTCATGTGTGAATGTGCATTTGAAAAAAAATATCTAGATGTGTATATATACATGTATATAAATATGAATATTCAATGTCAACAAATGTCGTTAAACTGCACGCCCTCCTCTCTCATTCACCTTCCCCCTCATCTTTTCATCATCCTCACCTTCCCCCTCTCCGCCTACGCGGGCGTAAGATACCGTGAGTTACCGTGAGTTGTCAATCCCCGACCAGGATGAGAGGTAGAATGAAGAGGGATGGAGCGAGGAGGGAGATGGTAGAGCAGATAATGTCCTCCTCCCACCTTCCGCCTCCAGGCAATCGGCATTGTCGAGAGACTCCTGTGCTGCGCGCAGTTTTTTCAGAAAGAAACCACATAAACATGAATGATCGGATGTTGTCCGCGCGGGTTGCCCTGCGTTCGGCGCTGGGCCGCCCCGAGCTCGCATGACGCGCGAAGCGTGCCATGTGCTAGGGGCGGGCACTGCCGACGCATGAAACCCGCGCAAACAACATCCGAACGTTCAATGTTATGTTGTTTCTAGGATGCAGTTCGCTGGCCGCTCGAGGGCGCGCTAGAATTTAAAGGCTTGCTCCCCGGTGGCGCTCCACACCGCCTGTCCAGCTGGGACAGCTCCCCCAAGGGTCGCCTTGGCCAAGTTTTTTCGAGCTGCGCCCAGCCGAAAACTACGAGGAGAGATCGGGCCTGGCAAAATGCCTGCGCCTTCCGTGTTCCTCAACATCGATGCCCGGGCCCCCGGGTCTCCCGCTGCCCTTCTCCCGGCCGCTCGCGGGCCTGGGAGGGCGAGAAACGCAACCGGAGGAGAACGGCGATGATGGGGGAGAGGAGTAAAAGTGGTGTACCCCCCCCCCCTCCCCGGCGTAAGATAGCGTAAGTTAGCGTAAGTTAGCGTCAGATGGCGTGAGGAGGGCCCGCCCCCGGCGTAAGATAGCGTAAGATAGCGTAAGATAGCGTAATCAAGCGTAAGATAGCGTAAGATAGCGTAAGCTAGCATAATGTAGTATAATACAGTGTTTGGCAATTCTAAATTTGGTGCAGATTAAACGCCACCGCAATTTGGTCAAACACCCTAGGTGCCGTAAGTTAGCGTAAGTTGCCGTAAGTTGCGTCTACCCCAGGCATGAACGCATGTGAGAAAGGGTGATCTGCAATTTTCCAGTTTGATCCTTCCAAGGCTCTCGCCGTAAGTTACCGTAAGTTACCGTGAGTTGCAGGCTTCCCACGCTGGATTGCCATGCGTTGCAAGTCTTCCGCGCTCGAACGTTGCATGTCGACGTATGGTGCTCCCAATGAGGGGCAAATGAGGCCGTGAGTTACCGTGAGTTACCGTGAGTTGCAGATTTCCCACGCTCGACTGCCATGGATTGCAGGTGCTTGAGCAAAAGAGGCCGTGATTTACTGTGAATTGCCCTATATGTTCTGACTTGTGGAACACTGGAGGCCGTTAGCCGTGGGTTCTGACTTGCAGAATGGCCGTAAGTTACCGTGAGTTACCGTGAGTTCTGAATCTCAAGCTGAAGATCAGAGTGAGGGTGCCCGAACGGTGTATACGCCATCCCTGGGTGAGTGGCTTATCGCCGACCGGCCCCGCGACCTTCGACCCGCCCCTTCGACCCGCCCCGCGACCCACCTAAACGCCCCCTCACTCGTATCCGAAATTGCGGGGTACTATCTGATGATAGCACGTGCATTTCAGCCTTTGTGCTCGAGAGGTTGTCAAGCGCAGCAACCTCCTTCTTCAAAGAAGTTGGCCATGGCGGCTCCAGGGCGGGCCCGGATGGTCTTCTGCAGGGACGCCGAGGGGAAGGTGAATGATGGTGGTGATGGTTGTGGCGATGGCGATAATGATGACGATGCTGTTGGCGATGATGCTGATGCTGATGATGATGGCGGTGGTGGCGGCAATGATGATAATGATGACGATGGTGTTGACGATGATGGTGATGCTGATGATGATTGCAGTCGGGGCGCTGAAGAAGGAACCCTTTTCGTTGGGGAGTGGTTCGGTGTTCCTTGATTGTGTCAAAGTTTGCCTCGGGTTTTCCTCCGGTTTCCCATGGGAAATCGAGGTTGAACTTATTGGGAAGAAGGGGCCTCGTTCCTTATTTAGGGTTCCTTAGGTCAACGCCTCGACTGTATGATGGCGGCGATGATGATGACGATGAGCTTCTAGGTGATGGTGGACTACCGCGGCAAGATCATGATGACCCCAGCTGCAGTTGCAGTGAAACCAGAGCCTGGCGTTGCTCCGCCTGATCAGGCTGCGCAGCCACAGGGTGGACCTCAGGGCGGCAGGGACGTGAAACAGCAGAGCCTGAGCGTTGCTCTGGCTGAGCGGCAGCGCCGCACAGCCGCAGGCGCGGCCACCATGAGTCAGCCGTCGAGACAGCTGAGGCGGCGCGTGCAGCTCATGCCAGCGGAGCAGGCCGCCGCGGGCAGCGCCGCCACGGCCGCAGGCGCCGCCACCTGCGCGGCCGCCTCGGACACGGCGACCTCCAGCAGCTGCCAGGCCCAGCTCGGCAAGGGCAACGACAACACCGCGCCTGGGAAGGGCGCCCAGCTCGGCAAGGGCAACGACAACACCACGCTTGCCAAGGGCCCCCAGCTCGGCAATGGCAACGACGGCGCCGCGCCTGGCAAGGGCGCCCAGCTCGGCAAGGGCAACAGCAACGAGGGCAAGGACAGCGCGAAGATCGACCGTCGCCCGGGCAGAGGTAAAGGCGTTCACTTGTCGGATTTGCAGTCGCCGAGCCCGGGGACCAGCCCTTCCCAAGACCGCGCGCCGCAGCCTGACAACAGCAGTGAGCCGCGTGCTGGTGATGCCGAAGCTGTGGGTGCGGGTGCCTTCAAGCTTGTAGTTCCGAGGCAGCCCGATGGCACCGCGTGCAGCGCCGACCTGCAGAAAGCAATCGTGAGCGCCCACGACGGCCTCGACAAAGCCCATCGGGCCATGTTGTACGCGCGCATGAAGCGCAAGACGGAGTCCAAGGAGTGCCCTCCGTTGCTAGCGGAGAAATGGAAGCAGGCAGCTGGTTCGATCAATGCCACGTCCGAACCCAATTCCACAACACACTCTAGCATCAGATACCGTAAGATAGCGTAAATGACACTTTCTGTGATATACGTAAGAATATGTGCATGCACACGCACACACATTAACTATACATATATACATGTCGTTATAGATGTGTATGTACTACGTTTCTATGGACATGTACGCGCTATCATTAGATACCGTAAGATAGCGTAAGACGCATGTTCCACCATTGTACACCTATACACATGCGATACGTTAATATTCATATATGTCTGTATATGCGTACGTGTGTATGAATGCATACTTGTGTACATGTACATGACTGTGTGCAAGTGCATGCACATATTCATGTATGTGCAAAGCCTTATGTGAAACTTCAAACGCTTGCAATATACATCGTAAGATATCGTAAATAGTATACCTGCGTGTATCGATGTATGTGTATAGACACACATACCTATGCAAATATATGCATGTGTCATTGTGTACATATGTAAACACAATGGCATATACGTCCGCCAAACTGCACGCGCTACCGTTAGATACCGTAAGATAGCGTAAGACACATATTTTGCAACCCCTACTGACACGTGCACACACAAATATATTTACTTATACGATGTACAAAGCATGTCTGCTGAACTGTAGTGCTGACCTCCAACAGACATACGCACTATACCTCACGATGGTGTACATATATATATGTGTGTATGCGTGCTGCTCCCACACTACAAACCTAACATTATATGTATGCGTGCACATCATGCATATGGGTGTTCAGTAAGATACCGTGAGAAACCGTAAGATGGCGTCAGCCTCTGACGGATGATGATTCGGGGGAGAATGGGGAGGAGAAGGAAGGGGAAAAGGAGGATGATGGAGGAGGAAGCAGGAGGAGGAGGCGTACGTGGAGCAAGAGTTTTTTTGCGTGCGAAACCATCTCGAGAGGCTGGCGACTCGAAGAGCCACAAATCAGAGATCTTCAAACTCTTCTTGGCGTGCGGAGGCGACGTGGGCAAGATGGAAGCAACCGAAACTGTAGTGAAACGCAAAGCGGAACAACACGAGGACGTCAAAGGGTGGGCCACACGTACACAGCTGCTCCAGGAGCTACCTGCCGAGAAAGTGGAGGAGCTCGTAAAGCGCAGCAGCTTCGCCAATGGAAGGGCCCGCTACCATCCAGATTTCCCTGACGACCTGACGATGGTTGAGTACAAGCGGCATCTCAGCACGAAGGAGACATATACATATATCAAGGAACACACGCAGACGATCCACTGGACCGGGGCCTTGAGTGGCCAAGTGGCACTGGAGATGGCGCGCAACTTGGAGTCCCTCTTCGACCAGACCACGACAGGGATGGCAACTCTAGGTGCGCCAGCGTTGCCGGATGCTGCAGGCGTGGCAGCATGCGGCCGTGGCAGCAGGCGTGGACAGCCTGGCCGCAGCGGCAAAGGCCGCGGCCGCACCTCGCGCACCAGCGTGGGGAACGTCTCTACGACGCCTGAAGATTACGTTCAGAAATGGGGGGCGCTGACGAAGACATACACGGACATCATTTCTGAGGTGACCTTCAAGATCAAGGCGAAGCCGTTCCAGGACGCGTTCTGCGAGCAGCTGCAGATGCTGCAGACTGACCTATCGGCGTCGAAGGAGAGCTTCATGGGCCTCGTCAGCGACGCCAGCAATGCGAAGCTGCTCAACTCGACGATCGAGACCTTCCGGGAGCGGGCCAAGAGGGCGGTCGACCACATTGCGACGGCCGACGACATGCTGAGGATCAAGAAGCGCAAGCTGCCATCAGAGCCTGAGCCACCGAAGGAAACTGGGAGGAAGAGGTGAAGGAGGAGGAGGAGGAGCGTGGAGGAGGGACGAGGGGAGGAGGAGGACGAGAGGAATGAGAGGAGCAGGAGGAGGAGGAGGAGGAGGAGGAGGAGGAGGAGGAGGAGCTCCCTCCCCTCCCTCCTTCCCTCGGGTGTTGCTAGAAGCGCCCCTGGCCCAAGATTCCCCCAGCTCGTCGCAGCATTTTGGAGCCCCTGGGGCCCTCTGGGCCTCGTGAGGGGTGCCCTGGATGCCGCCTGTGCCACCCCGAGAACCCTGGGGGGCACCTTGGACCAAGGGTACTTCTAGCAACGCCCGATTCCCGCGCTCGGTCCAGGACCCGACGAAGAGCGAGGCGCCGTCCGAGCAGCCCGCCGCGCAGCCCGCCGCGGAGACCGCCGCGGGCGCGGGCCAGGAGCAGGCTGCGGTCGCGGTGGCGACGTAGGCACAAGCTCGGACGGCGAAGAACGCCAACAACTGCAGAAACATAACTTTCGTAGCTCAATGTTTGATGGCCCCGCGGCCCGAAATTAGCCTCTAGAGGCTTCTCGAGAAACACGTGTTCGAAGGTTATGTTTATGTAGTTTTTTGATCGTCCTGAATTTTATGCTCTGCTTTGGGAGCTGGCTCGTCGCTGTTCAGGCTCCTGTCGCGTTTCCTGCCCCAGACCTCCTCTTCGTCCTCGTCATCAACTCCTCCTCCTCCTCTGCCTCCTCCTCACCATCATCCATGCCTTCCTCCTATTCATCCTCATCCTCGTCTGTCCACCCTCTCCTCCTGTTTCGCATCCACCTCTACATGAAGGGTGGGCGCGTCAGATAGCGTAAGATAGCGTCATCTCTCCTCCTCTGATTCCTCCCCTCCCTCATCCCTCTCGTCCTCCTCATATTCATCATCCTCATCCTCCTTCTCTCCTCCTGTTCCAAATCTACCTCTACCTCGAGGGGGGCGCGTCAGCTAGCGTACGATAGCGTCAGCTCTCCTCCTCTGCCTCCTCCTCGCCCTCATCCCTCTCTTCTTCCTCTTATTCCTCATCCTCATCCTTCTCTCCTCCCGTTCCGCATCCGCCTCTACCTCCACGAGGGCGCGTCAGATAGCGTAAGATAGCGTAAATTATCCTCCTCTGCCTCCTCCTCGCCCTCGTCCCTCTCTTCTTCCTCTTATTCCTCATCCTCATCCTTCTCTCCTCCCGTTCTACATCCGCCTCTACCTCCACGAGGGCGCGTCAGATAGCGTAAGATAGCGTCACCTCTCCTCCTCTGCCTTCTCTCTATCCTCATCCATATTATTATTATTGTTATTATTATTCCGACCCCTTACTCGCTGGTCGTTGAAAGCAAGTGTTTCTGGATTTCCAGACCGCAATCTATTTCAAGCGCCTTCCTACTTAATTATTATACCTACATCTTGCGACCGATGTGTATCATCACCCTCATCCCTTCCTGTTCCGCATCCACGTCGGGACGCGTCGGCTTGCGATAGCGATGTATATAGCTGGAAAGCTATATCAGAGGCCGGCGAAGCTGGCATGTGCATGGCAGGGGCCGAATTGAATTTACATTTTTGTTGCTGCTCCGAACGTGAATCGTCCTTTCTACCTCCCCCTCCTCCTCCCGTCCTCTCCTCCCTCCCCATCCCTTCCCCCCCATCCTCCCTCCTTTTCTCTCCTCCTCTCTTCCCCCCTCCACGGTTTCCTTTCTCTCTCGCATTCCGCTCGCCCGCCCTTTTGGCTTTGTCCTTGAGTTAAGTTTAATTCGGGGTCTCCAGCAGCCGACATGCTCAAGTCGGTCCAGAGGCTAGCAGCCCTCCGGCAAGAAGCGGCGCGACGCCGCGATTCGGCTGCCCCCGCTGCTGCGCTGCATCCGCCCGCGAAAGTGTTCCCGGAGGATCGCCCGATTGAAAACTGAGGGAGGGGGGTTAGCGCGGTCACCGCCTGGGGCGCGAAGATAGCCCCACTTCCCCAGGGCGGCCTATCGAGGGCGCGAAGTTAGGGGCCTGGGAGGGCCTGGGGGAATCGCGGTTGTCAGAAAAATTCAATTACCCTTCCCCCCGAACCCGAACAGTTTTTGGATTTTCAATCAGGGCACCAAGATTGGGCGCCGCCTGCTGGATAAATACTGCAGCGGGCGACTGTCGGCTGCGGAGGCCCAAGCAATTGCCCAAGATGTTTTAAGCGATTACGGCGATCACCAAGACGCCACTTCGAGATGGGCCTCTTTGGGTGCGCATGGCGAGCACCCTTCAAACTGCCAACGGGACCTCGTCAAATGGTGTGAAACTCGGGCAATTTCTTTAGATCCTATTGATGTTGATATTACGTTTAAGAAGGACAAGGATCATGGTGAGTGTGTGCGGAAGCACACCATCCTATATCCACATGAAGTCTTTGGAGCTATATATGATGCAGGTCCCGAGGCTTTCGAATATATGCTCGTTGGTGGCGACACCGATTCTCTGGAGGAGTTCTGGAAGCATGAATGGGACAAGCCCTGGGTAAAAGAACATCCTGGATTCAAAACGCACCATCACGACCCGAAAAAATGCATCCCACTCGGGGTCCACGCAGACAAGGGCCAACACATTTCCAGGGACAAAATTTTGAATATTGCCTGGGGTAGTACAACGAGCAGGTCAGACACATTGTTTTCCAAGTTCTTGTTCACGATCGTGCCAGACGAATACCTCATAAAAGGAAAAACTGATGAAGAATTATACGCTGTACTTGCGTGGTCACTGTCATGGCTTACCGCAGGGCGATGCCCTCCCACAGATCACACGGGCAAGCCGTGGCCGAGTCGCAGCCGCCGCGCAGAGCTTGCCAAGAACCAGCATATAGCTGGAGGCTATGTGGGACTGTTCAGTGAGTATCGGGGGGACTGGGAATGGTCCACCGAAACTTTTATGTGGAGGCCCGCGCCAGGCCTGCAATGCAACGCCAGCAGGCAACCCAGGGTGGGAAGGTATGGCCCCCATCCCCCCCCTCCCTCTCATCTTCTTCCTCCACCTCCACCACCTTCTTGCCCTCCCCGCCCTCCTCATCGTTGCCCTCCTGAGGGCGAGGCCGTAAGATACCGTAAGATAGCGTGAGTTGGGCCGCGCCCGCGCCGCCGCCCCCCCTCAAGGGGGGCACGAAGCCGTGGGGAAGGAGGGAGGGAGGAGGAGGGAGAGGAGGAGAAGGTAGGGAGGAAAGAAAACGCGCATCATGGGTTGCAGCTGCAGCTTTGCATTTACAGGATGATTCAAACGGCGCGCCTGTGCGCCATGCCTTCTCGCGGTATCTTACGCTCGGCCACCGTCGTCAACCGACGCGGTGGCGTGAGATAGCGTAAGATAGCGTAAGGGGGCATTGCATTCGCGGGCGCGCCTTCCCAGGGGTTACCGCAATAATTTCTGTTGCCACCGGGATTGGGCAAGCAAAACCTTGGAGACATTTGCGTACTGGGATTGGGGCCCAAACGCTCCCTGGCGCACGACCACCCTGTCCCACGAAGCGTACGACAAGTTATGTGATAAGAAGTCCGTGCTGACAAAAATCCCAGGGTGGAGACTGGAGAGGACGCGCGGAGATTCCATGCACATCGTGAACCTTGGAATTGCTTGGGTGGTGATCGGATGCGCTTTATGGTTTCTGGCGGAACACCGGGCATATGACAAGTTAGGGCCTGTGGAGGGCGCCACTGCGCTGCCCAATGACGCTCCAATGTCCGCGGTATTGTTCGATTTGTTTTTAAGGTTCAAGAAATGGTGTTCGAACCATAAGTTGACGTGTTCGTGCAGAAAGTTTACAAAAGCAGCCCTTCAGCGTGATAAGAGAGGTGCCCCCGTGCATTTCAGGACGAAAGCAGCCCAGAGCCCAGTGTTGATTGCATGGCTAGCGGATGTGTCTCTAGAATTCTCCAGAAAATGCCACAATGATGATAAGCGGCAAGCTGGAGTGTTGAGCTCGTGTCTTTGGGGTCTTGCAGAGTATTTTCACGTGATCAAATCAGCTGACCGTTTTTTTCACGGATGCCGAGTTGCCTCGATTGTATCATGCATCACACACGTTCTTGTACATGTTCAGTGAAATGAGCAGGGAAAGCGACGATCTTCTAATGTGGTCCCACATCCCAAAGATGCACCAGTTTCACCACCTAATACTTGATGCGCTCGACGATCGCAACAATCCCCGTTTTTTCACTGCTTCGGAGATGAGGACATGGTGGGCATAATGTTGAGAACAGCGAGGTCGTGCCATTTCCTGACTGTAGTTGACAGTTGCGTGCACAAGTACGCCATTGGTCTAGTAACGCGCATCCACGATTGTGTGCACTGGATGGCAGACTGATCTCGGCCATCAGAAAATTGAATAACAACAACAACTACATAAACATACCTTTCGGAGGCCCGCGCAAATTTCTTGGATCGGCGTCAATGGTGGCGTCAAAGGCGCCGCCAACGGAGCCTGGCGCCGACGCAAGAAATCCGCGGCGACCTCCGAAAGTTAATGTTTTTGTAGTTTTTCCGACTCGAAAGAGGGTGCCGAGGAGGAGGGGCAAGTTATTCGCGCTTCGCGGCTCGGCTACGCCTCTTCGTCATTCGTTTCTTCGCCCCTGGGGGTGACGCGAGAGCGCGAAGCTGGGCGCCCTTGAGGAGGATGAAGAAGATGAAGAGAAGGGGGAGGTAAGCTTTGGCAGGGGATCCCTGAACAGCGAGATTCGGGTCCGCTTCGAGCGCTTCGAACGCCGGTGCAGAAGCTGTTTAGGGTCTGGCGGACCGCCTGACAGGCTCGACAGCTAGCGTGAGATAGCATAAGATAGCGTAAGGTCGTCAAGTCGCTGCTTTCTTGCCCGCCCCCCGCACGCGCTTGCCCGTGCACTGCTTTCTTGCCCGCCCCCCGCGCGTGCTTGCCCGCCCCCCGCGCGTGCTTGCCCGCCCCCCGCGCGTGCTTGCCCGCCCCGCGGGAGGAAAGGGGCCCAGAGCTCCGACGTCGCAAAAAAATGCAACATCCTGAAAAATCTCAGCCGGAGCCCTAGACCCCATCTTTCTGCGTCATTTCTCGAGCCAGATCGATCTGCGATGGTCCTGGGGCCTGAAACCTGGCAAAGAGTGAGACGTCAGGATCTCAGGGAAAGGGAATGGGAGGAAAGGGGAGGGAGGGGATGAAAGGCAAGGGTAAACGAGAGGGGGGGGGAACGCGAAAAAAAGAGGATGTTGAGGGAATGGAGAAGAGGGGGGGAAGGGATAACGGAAGGGAAGGGAGAGACAATGACAGAGAGAGAGAGGGCATGCAAGCAGAAAGCAACGCAAGGGCGTTCAAGGTTGAACGCCGCCGGTGGCCCGGGAAACAGGCGATCATTCAAGGTTGAACGATTCCCGCGGTGTCAGGAACCAACGCCAATGAGTTTAAATCCTACGGCTCGCAGGTTGGCGTGGTTATGCCCGCGGATCCTGCTCTTCCCTTATGTCCCCTTTCTGGACCCTCGGGTCCACCTTGGGGTTCGAGGGCTGGGTCGTATCCCGTGGCGCGCCCATGCTGATTTGTACTGTCTTGTCCGCTGAAGTGTCCGTTCCATTCCCTCCTCCCCCTCCTCCTCCTCCTGCTCCTCCTCCTCCTCCTCCTCCTCCTGCTCCTCCTCCCTGCCTCCCTCCCTCTTTCGTCCTTTCCCCTCCGCCCGCCTTCCCCCTCTCCTTCTGGTTCGAGCCTATGTTGAGGCGGCAGGGTGGGGGACTCGGCCCATATGGACCGCGGGCGAAGCAGAAGCCCTGGGCCGATGAGTCAGCAGATTCTCCCTGATGATGTGCACAACGTCGTGACCGTCATATATGACTCGCCCTCGATGACCGACGTGGATTACGAGGAAAGGGTACCGATGCCGCTACCACGGCGCCCTTTTGTCCTTCTCGGGCCTCCTGGAGATTCCTCGTTGCCTCGGCTGGATTCGCTTCGAAATTCTGGTCAGAACGCACCCCTGGAGAGGTCAGAGGGTCAGCGGTATCGGTACCTTTTGGTCTTCCCACTGGTGCCGTGCAGACTCAGAATGTCGTGGCGACGTCGAGTTCCAGGGGCCAGGGGAAGGTCCTGTCCCAGGAACGCGATCCAAAAGATGAGGACCCCCCGAGGGCGAGGCCGTGAGATACCGTGAGATACCGTAAGTTGGAGCGGAAGGGGAGGGAAAAAGAGGAAGAGGAGTAAACGGACCTAAAACACGTTTTCCTTCGAGGAGGCGGTGCGAGAGATCGAGCGGGCGGTGCGCGATATCGCCCAGGTTACTGCTGACTTGGTCGAGGAGGCCTTCGCCTCTTCCTCCTCCTCATCCTCGTCATCCCTCCTCGCCCCTTCCTCCCCTCGCTCGCCTCCCCCTCGACTTCCTCGTTGGTGGAGCGGATCTTCGCCGAGATAGACGGCGACCTCCCGCCGACCGAGACGTCGGCTGAGCCGAACGTGTGACATCGGCCAGGGAAGATCGGGCCAGCCTGCTCGGACCTGCAATCGTTTGTGCGCGTGTTTTTGTTTGAGCTCGAGGGCCGAGCCTACTGCTATGGAAAACCTCTGCTTCCGCTCCTCCTCGAGCCTCCGCTTCCCGCTCCTGCACGCTGGGGCCCTCGAGTCCGACGAGTCCGGACCTGCAAGCGTTTGCGTGCGTGTTTTTGTTTGAGCTCGAGGGCCGAGCCTACTGCTATGGAAAACCTCGGCTTCCGCTCCTCCTCGAGCCTCCGCCTCCCGCTCCTGCACACTGGGGCCCTCGAGTCCAACGAGTCCGAGGAGAGCCCCGAAGCGGGCGCTCCGAATGCGCGCCGACGCGGCTGGCCGACGCGGCCGCCGACACGGACAGCCGCCGACTCGCATTCCGCCTCTCAGCGGAGGGAGACACTGACAATTTCTAGGCCTCCCAGATGGGGTCGGAGCAGCTGTGGTCGAAGAATCGCGCCGCATCGCCGATGCGTCGGCGATGCCGCTCAATTCGGAGCCCGACTTTCGCCGCGTCAATGGCGCCAAAGCATCGCCGACATCGCAGGTGCATCGCCAGTGCATCGCCGATGCATCGCCGATACATCGGCGATGCATTGGCGATGCGGCGCGATACTTCGACCCCATCTACTCCGACCCCATCTAGGTGGCCTCTACAATTGGCCTGCGGAGGGGCCCCTCGTCGTTACGGCCGAAAGCAGCGCGACAAACTGGTGCGTTTGGAGCCTGGAAAGGGCCCGGGGCAGATTTTGAGCTGACTTCGAACTCCCAATGTCTCAAACCGCCTTGCTCCGAGCATCCCCTCTCCCAAATATTATCCGGTCGCGGTCGCGCATAGCTTACTGCAGCTATACGTGCGACTCGCGTTTTCCCCTTGCACCCGGGAGTGGATAGACCTCTTACCCTGACACGTCGATTGAGGAATTGGCCGTTTTCGGTTCGCGAGAGGGCGTCGAGGCCGTCATTTTTGCGGGTCCAGGTCCGTCAGTTTCGGTCCCAGGCCGTTTTCACTAAGGAGAGGTTTACTACAGTGAGGTGTGTCCACCGCCGACGCACGAGGATTGGGAACTCAGGCTTGAAAAGCCCGAGTCTCCAACATACAGCCGCAACCGCAGGTAGCTGTGCGTCCTGCAACTGCGCCGCGCAGCAGCCGCAGCTGCTGCAATTTCCGCACGCATGTCGTCGAGGAAAAGAAGAATACTATATATATATAACAAAAAAAAACGCGAGAACCCCGCCCCCAGAAACGAGAGGCCACCGCCCCCAAAAAATGGAGACCCAGAACGCCCCCCAAAAAATGCGAAGCTGAACAAATGAAAACCGTCAATTGTGAATTTTCAATCCCAAGGCGCGCGCGTGGCAGCAGCGATGCTTCGCCGACTTTTAGCTGTCCACTGTTCGCGTCAAAGCCGCCACCGACTTCTCGCGAGGCCACCCCCCCAGAAACGGGAAGCCTCCACCCCGAGAAACTTGACAAATCCTCGAGGCTCCCCGCCCTCAGAAATGAGGCCCCCCCACCCCTTGAGAAAACCTCGGTTGTGTCAACGCCTACGCTCGCGAGTGCATGGGCATCGGTGGGGCTGTTTGCACACGCGCAACAAAAACAACCCTGGCACCGTCGCTTTGACACAACAAAATATAATATTATACCTTGGGCTGCCCTCTCGGGAGGAAACAAACGCCGCCGAGCTCCGCTCATTCCAGAAAATTGAAAACCCAGGGCAAAAACCCACGAGGCGTGTTCTGACCAGAATCTCACATCGAATCCAGCCGCGGCGCTCTCCGAATGCGTTTGGACCGTCCAGACTTAACGTTTGACCTCCGGGCGGGTGGCGCCAAACAGGCGTTAGATAGCGTAAGTTAGCGTAAGCCGTTTCTTGCCCATGCGAAAATCTGAACGCGAACAGCGCGCGCAGTGAAATGTCCAGTTGCGCGCTCGAAACGTCGCGAGAATACGGCGCGCGAGCCACAACCACGGCGCGCTTGCGTTGCGAAGCCGCGCGCGCGTGAAAAATGAAATGCAAACAACGCGACCGCATTTGCGACGCGCGGGCAAAAACAAACGCGCTTGCGTTGCGAAGCCGCGATGCGCGCGCGCACACAGAAACACCAACAGCGCGCGCGCATTGGAATATCAGATTGCACGCGCGAAAATTTGCGCGAATACGGCGCGCGGACAAAAAAAACAACATGTTTGCGTTGAAACGCAGCGATGCGCGCGCTGGTTTATCCCCTGGTCGCGTGAAAACTCGCGCTGAGCATTAAAAATGCATTGCGACTTGGGCGCGCGGACTAACAAAAAAGCGCGCGCGCGTGAAAAATGCAAAACAAAGGCGCGCGCGCGTCGCAAAGCCGCGCCGCGCCCGCGAAAATGGCAAAGAAACGCGCGCGCGCATTGAAAAAATAACGCTCGCGCGTGAAAATAAATCAGAAAATAGCGCGCGCGGGATGCGTTTTCTTAAGCATTTGGGGACTCTCCCGGAGTGGTTTTTGTAGTCTCCCGGATAAAATGCTTAAGGGTTGACCCAATGCTTAAGGCTTAAGCATTTCCGGAGTGTCAAGACCCTCTGGGTGATTCACGACCCCCCCCCTTTGCTATCCCCCCCTTTCGCCCGGCCCGATCTTTACCCGCCGCCGCAGCGCGTCGCAGGCGCGCGCCTCCCCGGAGCCCCGCGGGACGCGGCGGTGGCGCACCCGGCTGCGGCGTCGGCGCCCCAGGCGTGCAAGGGGGCGGCGGGCTGCGCCCGGCCCTGGCCCAGCCCCCCCTTCGGCAGTACTCCTCGCCCTTCTCCTTCTCCTCCTCCTTCTCCTTGTCCTCGTCCTCCTCGTCCTCCTCGTCCTCCTCCTCGTCCTACTCATCCTCCTTCTCCTCCATCGCCTCCATCTCCTCCTCATCGTCCACCTCAATCTCCTCCTCTTCCGCCTCCGACTCCTTCTCTCCTCTTCCGCCACCTCCTCCCCCTCCCCCTCCCCCTCCTCCTCCCCCTTCTCCCCCTCCTCCTCCTCCTCCTCCTCCTCTCCTCTCTCCTCCTCCTCCTCCTCCTCCTCCTCCTCCTCTCCTCCTCCTCCTCCCTCCTCCTCCCCCTCTCGTCTTCCGCCGCCTCCTCCTCCTCCTCCTCTCCTATTCCTCCTCCTCCTCCTCCTCCTCCTCCTCCTCCTCCTCCCCCCTCGTATTCCGCCCACAAGCACATGTGGTTCCGTCCATTCCGTAGGCCCCCTTTTGGCTTATCGTTTGGACATGAGTCGCACCTCGATGCCTCATCGTGGCGCTTGAGTGGCAACGCGTCTCCTGGGCCGCGTGCGCAGTCGATCGCGTTGGCTAAATCGAGGTAAACAGTTCCAGCAAAAGGATTAATCGATTATGGCTTGTACTTTGCTAGTGTTGCTCTTGCCTCCTGTTGTTGGTACGCATCCTGAGCGCATCGGCTCCTGTCATCCTCATCTACAGCACTGGACTCGGCGCATACGGTGTGCAGAGTTGGGGTGCCCTGGCGATGATGTACAGAATGTGGGAACCGAAGGTTGTGCCGACCGTCATCCGCTACAACGCTCTCTCAAGCACGTGCGAGAAGGGCAATCAGAGGCAGCGGATTCTCGCTGCAGAGCCAGATGGGTAGGCGCGAGGCCGATTGCATCAGCTACACTGCTCGGACCAGCGCGTGCGATAATAACGTCTGGTGGCAGCAGGCAGGCAGGTGGGAGCAAGTCGCGGCCCGTCGGCGCATTATCAATTTCAGTGTTGTCATGGGCCAGCGGTAGCAAAGGACAGTGGCTGCAGCATTTCAATTCGTATTCCAATCTTTGAGCTGTCACTGCATGGCGATTCCCTGGTTCGTGGGATGGGGACGTGCCGGCCGTCCGTATTCTGAGCCGTGCATTTGGTGGTGGCGTTGGTATTCAGCCTTTCACTGTCTGCTTGGATGGGGACGTGCCGGCCGTCCGTACTCCTGAGCCGTGCATCAATGGATGGCTGTTTCAATGGATTGGATTATACGTGCTATGCTACAACACTGCGGTCAAGTGTGCTTGGCCAATTGGTTCACAGTTTTCCCCGCTCATCGTGCAGAGTGTCTCGGTGGGCAAGCAGGTCTGGGGCTCCAGATGTTGGTGGCTCTTCTTCTGATCGACTGGGGCGAGGCGGTCTGTGGGCGAGGCGAGCTCCTGCGGGGAGTTAGCCCAGTGATCGACAGTGTTGCTTCGGCGGCACGGCTAGGGCCTCATAGAGTCAAACTCACTTCAGCTTAGCCATTGGCCATATCAGTGCGGAGTCATTTCAACGGTTCTGTCTCAGGCCTTTTTAAATTCGCGCCTTCTTGGTGGATGGGAGAAGGAATGAACATATTTGTGTTGTCACGCGTCGTGAATTGATTTTCTGCGCAGTTGGCTGCTCTCAGTGGGGAGGGATTCATCCGAGGTATCATCCGTGCTCCTCGGACTTCTTCGTCTTACGTAGTTGGTGCTGGTTCCTGTTCTACGCCCTCTGGTTCGTCTGCTTCAATTTCGAGCTCAGAGGGGAGTAGCCCGATTCAACCCGAGCAATGGCTCAGGTGGTGGTCGGGTGCTGTTCACTTCGCTCCGCGATCGGTCCTATCCTAACCCCCCTCGTCTTCCGCCGCCTCCTCCTCGGGCGTTCTCCTCTTACCATCCTCCTCCTCTTCCGCGGGAGGTCTTGTCCTCCTCATTCTCGACCTCGTTCTCCTCCCATCAGGCAGGCCCAGGATGAGGCGGGGGAGGAGGAGGGGCAGCAAGAGGAGGAGGGGGAGGAGGAGGGGGAGGCGGAGGAGGAGGAGGAGGAGGAGGAGGCGGATAATAAGAAACAGTTGGAGGAGGACGAGGAGGAGGAGGAGGAGGAGGAGGAGGAGCAGGCGGAGGAGGTGAGGAGGGAGGAGGTGGTGCTGCCTCCCCTATCTTCAACACAATCATCATCAAATCCGCTCGCCCTCCCCATTTTCGGCCTGCCCCCCCTCCTCATCTCCACTTGCCGTCAACACAGTAATTGTGCCGCTGTCCTGGTCATCGTCACCGGCATTATCAGCATCATCATCACCATGCTCATCAAGCGTCATCGTCACCATCATCACCATCACCGACATCGCCGTAATGTTCACAGGCTCGTCACCATCAGCATCAGCATCACCACCATCCCCATCATCGTCGCCGTCACTTCCACCATCATCACGACTGTCAACCTCATCACCACCCCCATCATCGTCACCGTCACCTCGACCACCATCACCACCCCCATCAACACCATATCATCACCATCACCACCACGACCGCCATCAGCGTCCGCGCCCTCCTTCCCATGAGCGCCGCCCGACACCGCCGCGGTGGGAAGGTGCTTGGGAGCTACCTGCGCCGTGCCGCCTCGCCTCTCAGGCAGGCCGAGGCTGCGCAGGCGCGCTCGTGCACTTGACGGCTGTCATCTCAGGAGGAGGATGAGGAGGAGGTGGAAGAGGAAGAGGAGGAGGAGGAGGCGGAGGAGGAGGAGGAGGAGGAAGAGGAGGAGGAGGAGGAGGAGGAGGAGGGGGGAGGAGGAGGAGGAGGGGAGGAATAAGGGAGGAGGAGGAGGAGGAGGAGGAGGAGGAGGAGGAGGAGGAGGAGGAGGAGGCGGAGGTGGAGGAGAACATCAGGAGGAGGAGGAGGAGGATGAGGAGGCGGAGGAGGAGGAGGGGGAGGGGAAGGGGGAGGAGGTGTGGGAGAGAGGGGAAGAGGAGGAGGAGGAGGAGGAGGAGGAGGAGGAGGAGGAAGATGAGGAGGAGGAGGAGCAGGAGCAGGAGTAGGAGGAGGTGGAGGAGGAGGAGGAGGAGGAGGAGGAGGAAGGTGAGGGGCAGGAGGAGAAGGAGGAGGAGGAGGTGGAGGTCGTGCTGACGTCCCCCTGGTCCTCATCCGCATCCCTTTCTGTCTTCCTCATGTCGCTTCTCCTCGTGCCGCCCGCTCATCGCTCTCCCTCTTCTCTGGGCGGCCCCCCCTTCATCGGGTCTGTAACTCTCTTACCTTTGCGCTCTCCTCCTCCTCTTGCGGACGATGGAGGGGAGGAGTAGGAGGATGGCCACATACAGCTGTGACGCGCGGGCGACGCCGGCAAAGGCGCTGCAGGCTGATCTCCACGGCAGCGCCACAGGACCCGACGGAATTCAGCCATGAACGATCGGGTCCGCGATCGATTCGAGGTTGAACGATCGACGCAGTGTCACAAACCTTTGCGCGCGCCGACGCCGCGCGAACTTACCGTAGACCCAGGAGCGGGAAACATCTCTTCCGAGCGATTCAGACCGCTCTGAACGCGTTGCGGGACGCTCTGGAACGGCTACGGCGCCCGATACATTCTCGACAGTCGCCGGATCTCAGAGATCCACGAGATGTCCCGATCCGATGTTGTCCCGTGGCTGGCTTCCTTTGAGCGCGCGAGAGACACAGGTCCGTGGAGGGAGCTCACTCCCAGGTCTGGAAGCGTTGCCTCGGTGATCGGGGAAGACGGGTCATTCCCGAGTCGGTGGGTGTCCTGTCGGTCGTTCAAGGGTGACAGAACGTCTCCCCTGACCGGGGGTTGCTAAAGGTGTCCCAGAACCAAGGTTCCCACATATTTTCGCTGCATGTTGGTTCCCCGGGGGCCACGGGGACCTCTTGGGAAGTCCTTGCAACACCTTGGGCCAGGGACACTTCTAGCAACATCTTAATTACTTGATAGGGGCCGCCCAGCTCTTCTTCTTCATTATTTTTACTCTTATTGTTCGGATGATTTTATCTTGGACCCTCGTTGGCCCCTTCCTTCCCCAGACAGACAAGAGGCAGCATAATGGGGAAATCAAATAACAAAAACATCGGCTTGCACCTCCGGGCGCCTCCAGCGCTGCCCCCCTGGTGCGCTCGGCGCGCCAGGGAGGGGCCCGGCGCCGATCTGAGAAATCCGTCAGACTCCCGAACATTTATGTTTACGCCGTCTTTTCGCCACGCGCAGAGGGGGGTAGGGGGAGGGGGAAGGCTCCTTGGAAGCAGCCCGGCTTCTATGAAGGCGCGGGCTCTTCTCTGTAGATCTAAAGCTGGCGCCTTCTAGACCGGCGCCTTCTGAGAAGCAGCCTCCTTGTAAGACATGTTTCCCCCTCCCCCCAGTCCTATTGCGTCGCCAACAGTGAAGGGGAACTGGGATACGCAAATAAATACACACAAATAAATATATCCCCCATATTTTCCTATATTTTCTGGGTTTCTGTCTTCCCCCCCCACTTCCCATATTTTCCCATATTTTCCTGGGAGTCGACGATTCATTCTGTCTGTGTGTTTTTCCCAACCATCCTGTGGTGTTGGGTCCTCGTTTTGAAGAGACGGTGCCCGCGTCCTCTCCTCCTCTCCTCCTCTCCTCCCCCTCCTTGCCTCTGCTCTCGGCACACCTCTCACGCGTTTCGTAGCCCCATAGGGAGCTCCACCGAAGGCCCCAGTGGGGGTGTTCGCATGCGGTTCCCCCACCCAGGGCAGCGTTTCGTGGCCCCATAGGGAGCTCCACCGAAGGCCCCAGTGGGGGTGTTCGCATGCGGTTCCCCCACCCAGGGCAGCGTTTTGCGGTTCCCCCACCCAGGGCAGCGTTTCGTAGCCCCATAGGGAGCTCCACCGAAGGCCCCAGTGGGGGTGTTCGCATGCGGTTCCCCCACCCAGGGCAGCGTTTCGTGGCCCCATAGGGAGCTCCACCGAAGGCCCCAGTGGGGGTGTTCGCATGCGGTTCCCCCACCCAGGGCAGCGTTTCGTAGCCCCATAGGGAGCTCCACCGAAGGCCCCAGTGGGGGTGTTCGCATGCGGTTCCCCCACCCAGGGCAGCGTTTCGTGGCCCCATAGGGAGCTCCACCGAAGGCCCCAGTGGGGGTGTTCGCATGCGGTTCCCCCACCCAGGGCAGCGTTTCGTAGCCCCATAGGGAGCTCCACCGAAGGCCCCAGTGGGGGTGTTCGCATGCGGTTCCCCCACCCAGGGCAGCGTTTCGTGGCCCCATAGGGAGCTCCACCGAAGGCCCCAGTGGGGGTGTTCGCATGCGGTTCCCCCACCCAGGGCAGCGTTTCGTAGCCCCATAGGGAGCTCCACCGAAGGCCCCAGTGGGGGTGTTCGCATGCGGTTCCCCCACCCAGGGCAGCGTTTCGTGGCCCCATAGGGAGCTCCACCGAAGGCCCCAGTGGGGGTGTTCGCATGCGGTTCCCCCACCCAGGGCAGCGTTTCGTGGCCCCATAGGGAGCTCCACCGAAGGCCCCAGTGGGGGTGTTCGCATGCGGTTCCCCCACCCAGGGCAGCGTTTCGTGGCCCCATAGGGAGCTCCACCGAAGGCCCCAGTGGGGGTGTTCGCATGCGGTTCCCCCACCCAGGGCAGCGTTTCGTCCCCATAGGGAGCTCCACCGAAGGCCCCAGTATGCGGAGCTCCCCATAGGGAGCTCCACCGAAGGCCCCAGTGGGGGTGTTCGCATGCGGTTCCCCCACCCAGGGCAGCGTTTCGTAGCCCCATAGGGAGCTCCACCGAAGGCCCCAGTGGGGGTGTTCGCATGCGGTTCCCCCACCCAGGGCAGCGTTTCGTGGCCCCATAGGGAGCTCCACCGAAGGCCCCAGTGGGGGTGTTCGCATGCGGTTCCCCCACCCAGGGCAGCGTTTCGTGGCCCCATAGGGAGCTCCACCGAAGGCCCCAGTGGGGGTGTTCGCATGCGGTTCCCCCACCCAGGGCAGCGTTTCGTGGCCCCATAGGGAGCTCCACCGAAGGCCCCAGTGGGGGTGTTCGCATGCGGTTCCCCCACCCAGGGCAGCGTTTCGTGGCCCCATAGGGAGCTCCACCGAAAGCCCCCGTGGCGCAGTTCGCATGCGCTTCCCCCACCCAGGGCAGCGTTTCGTGGCACCATAGGGAGCTCCACCGAAGGCCCCAGTGGCGCAGTTCGCATGCGGTTCCCCCACCCAGGGCAGCGTTTCGTAGCCCCATAGGGAGCTCCACCGAAGGCCCGCCCCGGTGGCGCAGTCCGCATGCGGTTCCCCCATATGGAGCCCCACCGAAAGCGGCACCCACAGCGCGTTACCAACAATTGCTTATGGTTGGGTCTTTCGCCAGGATAATTTTTTTGTTCCCTCCTGAAACAGGGGGCCGCGCCTCCGCAGGGGACCATCCGGGGCAGCGGGGGCGAGCTCCTCGCGCCCCCCCCCTGTGTCCGATCCGGCGGGGGGGGGGTCGCCTGCGCAGCAGGAGGGGGGAGAGGAGGAATCGGCCGGATGGCGATAGGGGGGGGGAGGAGGAAGAGACAAGAGGAGCAGTCTGGAGGATGAAGGGAGGAGGTCCAACTCGGCCAGGTCCAACTCGAGGAAGAAACAAGAGGAGGAAGAAACAAGAGGAGGACAAGAGGGATAAGGTCCAACTCGGCCAGGGCCAACTCCAGGGGGAGGAGGAGGAAACATGAGGAGGGGACTGGAGGATGAAGGAGGGGGGGGGGGGGGAAGGAGGACAAGCTGGGTGCGCTCGCGTCATGTCTGACGTCCTGCCCCTCCCTCCCATCCTTTACCATGGCGTAGATCTCCTCTCTATTCGCACAGTCGGATGTCGAGCAGGGCAAGGATCCCGAGAGGGTGCGCGATGCATCGTAGAGCACGGCATAGCAGGGCGTAGAAAAGCACGGCAGAGCGTAGTATGTCATAGCATGGCGTGGCGTTGTGTAGTGAAGAAGTTCATCGCAAAGCATTGCAATGGAGATAATGGCATCGCACAGCGGCACAGATCACAACATGGCATAGCATGGTGTGGAATATCAAAGCGTAGCATGGCATAGCATGGCTTGAGACTGCGTGGTCAAGCGTTGCATATCCCAGCATTGCAGCTGAAGACGTGGCATCGCACAGCGGAACACCACATAACATTGCATTGCATGCCTTTAGCATGGCACTTAAAATAATCACGCCAGCGCTGCAGCGGGAGCACGATCCCGAACGAGCGGTAATGAAGCCAACGCTGCAGTGGGGGCACGATTCGGAACAAACGGAAGCGAGGAAATTGGGCCAGCGCTGCAGCAGGGACACGATTCGGAACGAGCGGGAACCCGATCATGAAGCCAGCGTTGCAGCGGGAACAGCATCTTGAAAGCAAAACCCGAACGAAAACCCAACTCCTGGAAACCCTGTGTGTATGAATAACTACGCGGAAAAGGGGGGCCGACCATCTTCCAGACGTCATCAGTGGATGGGGGAGAGTCGTATCCATATTGTGTGGCTGTGGAGAAGGAGGAGGAGGACGATAACTATGACGAGGAGGAGGAGGAGGGGGGGGGGATGAGGAGGACGATGAGGATGTGGTGGAGGCGGAGGAACAGGAGGAGGAGGAGGAGGAACAGAAGAAGGAACGGGGAAGAGGAGGAGGATGAGCACGAGGAGGAGGAGGAGGAGTACGAGGA